GTAACGGTTTTTTTTTAGTTTATGTAAAGTACAGTTTTTTATGGAAGATACATGAATACTTGGCGCCTTTTTTTTACCTTTTTTTAAAAAGGTAATTTTGTTAAGATTACGTTTACACGGCACGCTTTACCCCGAAGTTATAACATTGATGTTATGAAACTGGCCAATCACAGTCATTCCATTCTTCTTAGAGGAACAGTTATGATTGGCCAGTTTCGTAACATCGATGTTATAACTTCGGCATAAAGCGTGCCGTGTAAACGTACACATTGTAGAGTTCCTATAATAGGGCTGCGTTCAGAAATTTCACCTTGCGGGTGATTGTTAGGAGTCTGTGTGAGTTAAATGGTAGGGATAAGGTACCCTCTCTGGTGTGTACATTTCTGAACGACCTAGCCAGAGGAAAATGGCGCAGCGTAAAAAACAAGCACTTCCCTTACGAAAAAAACTCTGAAAATTTCAGTGTTTATACTCAAATTTGAGTGTAAACCCCAAATTTTAGGAGTTTAGCCTGAAATTTGTGTGTTTACACTTAAATTGTGAGTGTTTATACTCAAACATTGAGTATATACACTCAAAGATTGAGTGGTTACAACGTTCACATTCAAGTTTGAGTTTACACACTAAACATCTAAAGGTTACCCTCAACACTTGGATATGACACGCAATAAATGAGCGTAAATCCTAAACCTTTGAGTGTCTTCAAAATTGAGTATATAAACTTAACAGTTATTTGAGTTTTAATTTCCATGATTAAAATAAATGCCAAAATATTGAATGTAGACGCCCGCAAATATTTGAGTACTTAAAAATAATGGCGTTTACAATTTAATATTTATTCTGAAATTTTAATTTGTTTTGAAATTTTTATTTGTTTTTCAGAAATTTTTATCTTTTTTGAAATTTTAATATTTATTTCTATTCCTATAATAATACTTCCTCCATTGTACGTAGGGTCTAAAGGTGAAATCACACGGTGCGGAAAAGAAAGTATGTCACAAAAGCAACCAATCAGCTTTATTCTGCGTTATTCCGAATAGCGTTAATTGGTTGTTTCAATGGGCGCATTCAGTTGAGTGCGAGTGCCATGCTCGCTGTGATTGGTATATTCTTTTAGCTCATCGAATCAGAATTTTAGATCTAGAAGAATGCACCAATAACAGCGAGTGCTCACTCAACTGTTGAGTCCGCTGAATGACGCATTCTTTGTTCCGCAATCATTTTTCGCACCGTGTGATTTCACCCTGACACTTAAGTTAACTATCAAGTTGAGATTAAAGCCTGCGGCACACGATGCTTGTTTTCCTGCTGGATTGCTAGCTGGATTAGAATCTTGCCACCGTATTGGATGTGATGCTGTCAGTGCCAGCATCGCAGCCAATACAGTGGCAAGATTCTAATCCAGCTAGCAATCCAGCAGGAAAACAAGCATCGTGTGCCGCAGGCTTAACACTCAACATTCAAGTCATCAATAACACTCAAGTTGAGAGTTATACTCAGGTTGAGCGTCCCAAATAATCATTAATTGAGTGTTACCTTGAGTGTATTTTTTCAGTGTTTTTTAAAGTGTAAACACTTTTAAGAGTTTTTTCTGTAAGGGTTGATATATATGTACTAGCTAGTGAACTTTCTATTATATTATCTTAATTTCAGCGAAACATGTAAACATATACTGATATGACTGATTTAATTAATCATTTTGATACATATTGTACGGGAGTAGTACACCATTCTTTATGCATTGCCGAAATTAAGATAATTTAATAGACACTTACTAGTTCATACGCTTATCAAGTGTTCCTGTAAACAAGGTCAATAACCTCTAATATTAAATGTTTTGTGCAAATAAATGCAATCAAGTTAGACATTATATTCAATTAATTATAATTACGTTTAAAGATAAATATTTTGCAAATAAATTGATTTATCAAAGAACGGGGTGATCCCGATTGACCACGTCTCGATTGGACACCAGCAATCACAGCGACCGGTGCTTAGGAGCTTTGTAGTCTCAAGCGCTGTGAGTGGCTCGTGTCCAATTGAGCCGTGTCCAACTGGGTGCCACCCATCGTAAATTATAATTGATCAAAGTAAAATATATTTTACTTACTTCCAGGATTCCACAATATAATTTGATTTTTATTATTAAATTGCATTAATAAATTCTTATTTGTAATCTAAAAGTATAATCCAATCAGCGCGACGAATCACAAAACGGTTGTAAAACTGCTGAGTCTGCTGAACGCAGCCCATGTTTCACTTCCCGCGCTTTGTGTGCCTACTCGATCGAGAGACTTTCCACCTAGCAAAAGAGCAGGGTGCAAAAGTCTCCCGATCGGGAATACCCGACACGTTTCTGAACGGGCCACCTAGGTAACGCTGAGATACTCTCAATTGGTTTCTGAACGGCATTCGGGAGCTTTGCTCCCGAGTGTAGTATCTGAACGCAGCCTAGGAGTCAAGACATGAGGGGCGACGCCCTCGTGATTGGTCGTCGCCATTTCTAGGCGCTTTCGATGTTAATGAATCTGTGAATTGGTGAGCAATTGTTTCATGGTGTAGTAGTATAAACAGGCGCGAACGCGTCTATTTGTGCCACGTGTTATTTGTGCTGTTTCCGGCCGGCGCCCAGCAATGGCGTCCTTGCGGTCTTATGCTTGACTTTTATTATAGGAACTCTACGGCAATGTTAGTGCGGAGGCGGAGGCCCTATCGATAGCGGTCACACATGACGGCATGACGGCTGTGACGCGCATGGCGCAAATTATGCAAGAAAGATGAAATATCTAGCTCGTAATCAAGGAACTATCTAGGTATTCGCCGACGAGGAATTAAGTGTCTAGGTGTTCTGCATGTCTGAGGAACTGAGTGTTCAGGTGTTTGCTACCGAAGAAATAGGTGTCTAGGTTATTCAGAACACATTCTATGAGTGGGGTGTAGGAAACGGGGATACAATAGAAATTACAACCGTAAATCACACTTAGATGATACATAACTGACAAGTAAAGTTATCTTTCCGTTACTCGCAGAATTTAATAAAACTTGGCACATGTATAGAGTAGGCAAAAATAATAGACAAGTATTTTTTTTATATCGGCAATAGTGCAGATTTAAGGGTGGAAACTACCACTTATAATCACGAATACTTAATTCCTCGTACTTTAACTTGCTGTATTAAAGCTACTACTGAATTTTGAGGATAATAAGAGGTTTCCATGTTTTCTGAAAGCAAATTCTGTATAAAAAATGTAGAATTCAAAATAACCGATTCAATATGGCGGATTCCTGCAGTGAATTCAAACGAGTGGCACCCAGTTGGACAGGGCTCAATTGGACACGAGCCACTCACAGCGCTTGAGACTACAAAGCTCTTAGGTACCGGTCGTTGTGATTGGTGGTGTCCAATCGAGCCGTGATCAATCGGGATCACCCCAATTCAAACTATCTGATCCCGCTCTTTGCCGAACCCAGGAATAACCGAGGAGGAGGTCGCGAGAGTCTAGTCCCATTTTGTTTTTTATTATTTTTTTATATTTTTCATGTTTTTATGTTTTTATATTTTTCGATTTTTTCATCTTTTTTTTAACAGTTACGTTATTCTCACCTGTATGTTAATTTTTTCATTTTTATGCTACATACTCTTAGCAGAAACGATATTCAATAAAAAAATCTTGTATGCACAAAGATTTTGCATACCAAGCGCACTTTATGACTGCTACATTATTACATAATAATTCGTAGATAGCTTCACAATTTTTAAAACAATAATCTATTGGATTATCAAAATGAAGTGGTTTCTCTTGTAAGTATCCACTTTTGTACCATGAATACTTAAATAAATTTATAAATCGCAAAGAGGATAACTGATTGTGAATAAGCGATTGCAATTTGATAAAGTTGTTTCTTAATGTAAATTTATATCGTAATTACACAAAATAATTAAATCTGAAAAATGTTTAATAAAGTTTTTCGAAATCCTGAATCCAAAGACGTCAAGAGGTTGAATCATCACCTGCAGTTGTTCCTGCAGGAATTGTTAAAACTTTAATATTTTTCGATAATTTATCTATTGTTTCAAATGTCTTCGAATTTTGGCCACTCCATGAATCTAAAAGCAGAACACTATTATCATTGCAATTAGGAAGAAAAACATTTGTGAACCATGTTTTCACAAGATTCGTCGACATCTTACCTGAATTTGCAGGTAATACAATAACATTATCAGGTTTAAAAAGAGTTGCTTCTACTCGAGGTCCAAACTTTCCATCTTTTTCTTGTAAAATAATTAATAGCGGTGGCGAAAGGGACCCACATGCTGATACGATGGGCTGAATTGTGTAGCTATGAATCATTAAATTCGTTGATTGGGTTAATGTTTCAATCTTCTGCTGTCCTTTGAAGCATAAAGTACGTCCTATGTGCATTTCTAAATTAAAACCCGATTGATCAGAATTAAACACATTCTCTGCTCCAATTAACGAAATTTCTGTTTTTACCTTTTCAACAAAATTGTTAGACTCTATTTTTAGTTTATTTATCTCTATCAAAGTTTTCTGCGTTATAAATTTATTTATTTTTCTGGAAACAAAAGGGTGGTGTTTCTGTGAAATTATGAATCCACGTTTTTGATGCTTTAAAAAACTGCTGATACCAGATATGTAAATATGAAACCGGAATTTACCAATAGATGGCCATAGCTGTCAATGTAGTTGCTGTCAGACCACGTCACTGACGCCATTTCCTTGTTCTGACATCTGACAAAGATTTTCAACTCACAACAATACAAATTTCATACAACAGTATAGTTTGTAATAGCGTTGAGCATGTCGAATTTTGTGCCTGAAAACTATGATTTGCGGACAGCATTGATTTTCCGTTACCATTTGAAGAAAACTGCTGCAGAATCGCATCGAATGCTTGTCGAAGCTTACGGTGAGCATGCTCTTGGTAAATCATAGTGATTTGAGTGGTTTAAAAAATTCAAAAGTGGCGATTTTGACATGAAAAACGAAGAACGTGGCAAACCACCGAAAAAGTTTGAAGATAGCGAATTGCAAGCATTGTTGGATGAGGATGACGCTCAAACTCAATAATTCGCGAATCAATTGAATGTGACACGAGAAGCCGTTTCCATACGTTTGAAATCCATGGGAAAGATCCAGAAGATGGGAAAATGGGTTCCACATGAACTGA